CTGCCTTTAGCTTTGATTACAGCACGCATTCGCCGTGGCATCGTTTCGATAAGCTTATACAATGTTGCAACATTTATTTCCATCCAGAGTTGCATTCATTTTTCTTTCTACAAGATCTTGTAGTGGTGATGGGAGAGTCGGACCAGTGCATAAAGTCTTCTCCAGCACATTCCAAAGATTCTCAGTAGGGTTAAGGTATGGACTCTGTGGTGGCCAATCCATGTGTGATGCTTCCTGAACCACTCGTTTACAATTTGAGGCCAATTAATTCTGGCATTGTCAACTTGGAATATAATATGCCCCTGCCATCAGGGAAGAAAAAATCCATTGATGGAAAAACCTGGTCATTCAGTATATTCAGGTAGGCAGCATTTTTTGGGGACATAACGTTGCTGAACCTAGACCTGACCATCCTCAGATCATAACACTGCCCCCACAGGTTTGTGCAGTAGGTACTAGGCATGATGGGTGCATCACTTAATCCGCCTCTCTTCTTACCCTGATCCACCCATCCCTCTGGAAGAGGGTAAAATCTGGACTCATCAGATTATATGAACTTTTACCATTGCTCCAGAGTCCAATCATTATGCTCCCTAGCAATCATAGCTGTTTTTTCTGATTAGCCTCACTGATTAGTGGTTTTCTTAAGGCTACACAGCTGTTTAGTACCAATCCCTCGGGTTCTCTTTACATTATGCATGTGGAAATGCTTTTACGTACACTATTTAACAAAGCCGTGAGTTCTACTATTGATTTTTTACAATTTGATTTCGCCAAATATTTAAGTGATCTCCCATAATGATCATTCCAAATTTTTTTCTGACCATATTTTTTCCTCAAAGTTGATGGATCACCACTATCCGTCCAGGTTTTAATAATGCCGGAGACAGGTCTTAGCCTAATTCTAGTAGCTTTGGCAATCTCCTTAGGTGTTATCTTTGCTTAATGAAAGCCAATAATTTGACCCTTCTGAAACAGAGTTACATCTTTTCCACAACCACAGGATATTTCTTCTGACATGGTTTTAAGAAATGAGAAGCAACTGACTACATCAGCTAAGGTTAAATAACTTGTTGCCTGATGAAACATATTAATCCCTGCAGTAATAATCCAATGAAAGGCTCTTACCTATTTGCTTAGCTAAATAGTGACTTTTTTTTGGCCTTGCAGTGTACACAAATGGGAGATGCATAACTTGTCATAGCATTTGGAAATTTCTTCAGGAAGCCCTGAGGAGTTACCAGACAGAGGAGCTAGGCTGGTGACTTGACTTTCCTCTGCAGTAATTACACAATATAGACAAGTCATATCCCTGTCACCAGCCTGAGATCGAACTGTGAAGGAGCAGTAGAAGATAGGTGAGCTCATCCCTCTGCTCTTTCTCTGTTTCAGCAAATGTGCACTGCAGTACAACAGATATAACTTAATGCTATCCCTCCCTCTACCACTCTATGTGCTGAGATTACAAGAGGCTGATACCAAGCTATATGCAAGTACTCATGCTAGCTGCATTTGCAAATATACTTGGTGATTTTTTTAATGAATACATAGCTGAAATACTTGATGTTTTCAGCTTGGAGTTCAGCTTTAACTTACATATCTCCTGCAACAAAGCTGGAGAGTTCTCAGATATAGTTATTACAAGGATGCTTAAGTGCTGCAGTTTGTACAGTATATAATGAAAAAGTGTACAGAAAATATTTATCATATTACAACACTGAGTCAGTGAACCTAATTCACATAAGTAAGAACGCACAACCTTTAATGGAAGCAGTTTATTACACTCAGTGAGAAGAATAAACGAAAATGATTTTTGAGTTGAAGGCACCATTGAAGGTCAGTCAATTGATTCACAATTATACCGTACGGAGGTGTAATATATCACTATGCTACCCACAACTATTCCACACAGAGAACAGTCCTCCAAGTGACATTCCCCTTCCCTAGTGACCTCTGCAAGATGTATTTCCTACATAGTGAAAGATTAGACAATATATGGTTTAAAAAAAAAAAGAGAACCTTTAATATTAAATGCATTTTAACAATCAAGCTTGTTCAAGAGGACAGTGCAAAAAAAGACTAATATACAAAGTGAACAGCCCAGTGCAACCCTGATCTGACTGCCCAATGCAATGCATTCAGAAGCACCAGAAATGTTGGGGGTGACAGCGAGTTTTCTGCAAACTCACCTCAAGGTGTGAACTCATGGTCACTCCCCCCCCCCTCCCATCTGCAAAGCTTGACTAGAAAACACTTATTCTGTGCACTGATGGTATCAAAGGCGTAGATAGCACAAGGAGGGCGGAGTGACACCTTGAGTTGCATGGTGTCCCTAATAAATGGCCAACAGTTTTCAATGCTGAGTGCTTGACAACTGAAGCAAGGACAGAAGCCAAAAATGGCTGTTTAATGTTCATCGAGTGATTCTAGGGTAAACATCCACTTTAAATCGAGAGAAGTTCCCTAGCTAGTGGGCAAATAACCCTTGTAGTTTATTTATTACAGGTATTTATACAGCGCTGACAATTTACGCAGCGCTTTACTTAGTGCACATACGTATCAGTCCTTGCCCTCAAGGAGCTTACAATCTAAGGTTCCTGTCTCACATGCATATGCACAAAGGCCAGTTTAGACAGGAGCCAATGGACCTTCCAGCAGATCTTTGGAGTGTGGGAGGAAACCCTCGCAAACACAGGGAAAACATGCAAACTCATTGCAGATAGTGACCGAGTTTCAAACTGGGGACCCCGAGAGCTGCAAGGCAGAAGTGCTAACCACTACACCACTGTGCTGCAGTTCAGAGTTCAGTCATTGCCTGTAGGGAGCCGGTGTTGGTTTAGCCCCATCCAAAGACAATTTTCAGCGGGTTACAATTTGTAAGGTATACTGGGATGGGCAGTATTCTTGGTACACATGGGTCATTTGGTATAGAGGGCAGTAAGAGGGCACAGGGTAGAGAGAATTCACATTGACCTTTTAATGAGGACATGTAAGGACAGAAATATTTGAGCTGCCACTGCTGACTTGATTTGTAGGCTGTCATCCCGGTCCTAGGTAACAAAATTACCTTGAACAAATATGCAGGATGCGAAATCAAACTTTCCAGATTTACTGACTGCTTGCTTGTTTGACTTTACTGACAAACTTGGTAGTGATGCCAACATTAGGACAAGATCACCAAAGCCTGAACCTTGAACACATGTTCTGCAACTCTTAATCACCTTGTGATGGAAAATCGAAGTGTGTGATCGATCAATTTAAAATAATCCCATCTTTGTTTTGGCACAGTGCAAGGAACCTAATGACATGGCAGCACTGTGGCTTAGTTGTTAGAGCATCTACCTCGCAGCACTGGGGGTCCCTGGTTTGAATCCCAGCCATCTGCATGGAGTGTGCATGTTCTTCCTGTGCTTGCATGGGTTTCCCCCCACCCACCAAACACATGCTGGTAGGTTAGTTGGCTCCTGCCTAAATCAGCCCTACTGTATGCATGTGAGACAGCGGTAAGCTTTGGAGGGCAGGGACTGATGTAAATTGATGGTGCACTATAAATACCTGTTAAAAATATATGCATAAGCGCATTCTACTAGCTAGGATATTCATTTATTCTGCCCACTAGAATGGATTTACACATTTTTGTGCAAATTATGCCAGTAGGCCCCTCTCTGAGCGCAGGTTTGGAGCATTTCTTTTAATTCCAATGAATGCTGCTCTAAAATATGGAGCTGTAAAAGCGATGTGCTCTGAGGCATAAAAAGAAAGCAAAAAATGCCTCTAAAATGCTGTTTTTTTTCCTGCCCATGTGCATGAGGCCTTAAAGTCTTTAGTCTCTATAATATTTTGTTTTTGTAAAAAAAAAAAAAAAGCTGCTTAATGTATTGCTTGTATATTAATGTGTACTGTGTGTATATTTATATATATTATATACACACTCTCTTGTATATTAATGTATTACTATTTCATGTATATTAATACAATATATGCATTATTTTGTATATTAATATATATGTACTCTTATATTAATGTATTACTTCCTTATGTATCTCCTAATGCATGTCATTTATAGATCTTGTATATTTCATTCACGATGGTCAGAGGAGGGGGGATATAAAAAGCTGTGTAAAATGAATTCAAGGTCACAAGAAGAAGGGACACTGAGGATTTATCTAAGCAGAGCTATCCCTACAGGCCTCGCCACTCTAGCACTATTGATCTACCAAACACCAGCCCCCCCCCTCCCTGCCCTGGATGTATCGATATTTATAGATTTACGACATAAATCAACACAATGTATTAGGAGAGGGAAAAAAAACATACTATTTTTTTTAAAGTGATAAAAAATAAAATAATGGTGAGGTATGTCTTGATCATGAATCGATTGTATGCTAATGCAATTATTTGAGATGCCATGTATGCCCTTGTATGTTTATAGCCATGATTTTCCCTTTGTATCCAAACTGAATAAACATTTATTTATATATATATAAAAAAACAAACAAACACAATGACACATTTCTATCAGTAAAGTTAAAAAAAAGAGGACCTGTAACATCACTGCAGAGCTGGCAGACAAACCCATCCATCTGCTCATCATACTCATACTCTAACCTGTGCAGACACAAGTGGTGCAGTAAAATGATAAATAGCACCAGATCTGGATCAGTTGTTGGTGTCACTTCATTGGGCTGAGCCTGCAATGACAGCAGCTGTAGCAGAGGCAGGAGGAGGTGCCCAGACTGCACCCAATACATTGTTGTTTATGATCTGCCAGCAGCTGCACCTCTGATCACCTCTCTACTCTTCTAATAAAAAAAATACAACGATATCATTGACTTTGTAAAGTGTATCCTCTGGTATGATAAGAAGAAGGGATGCTGCATTGATTCTGCACTAGCAGGCAAGATGGATGATGTGTGTCACTGAGCATGCACAGTAAACACTGTACCTGCCCCTTGCTGCATTTACAGCACAGAAAGCACTGAGCCGATCGCTGGATTTACCTTTGGATCCTTCTCGTAGTAATACTGCTGGGTCCTGATCCATCTGCCCACCAGGTGATCCCTGACAGTGTGTGCCAGGGCGAAGTAATAGTCCCTCGGAGTGGACACATTCCGATCTTTCACTAAGGTGAAGTGCAGATGCCGGTTGAAGCTCTTCCTGACCTCGGACACATCGCCGAGCCCTGCGATACCCCGCACACTGATCTGCTTCCTCTTATCGCTGTCAGACAGGGGGACAGCCATGGTGTGACAATGAGACGAGCGATCTGCCGGCGGCTTTCTGCGGGTTGTCAAGCTCTGCTCAGGCTAGAATGCTGCTAGATGCTGGATCCTGAGAGCTACAGGACTTCGGGTGACGTCATGGTCATGTGACCAGCTCCATGGGTGGGAGGAGGCTGCTGATGGAGCCGGGGAGATGAGAGTGACTTGGGTTCTGGGCATGGGGTTCAATGCCATGGCGTGCCAGGTGCTGGACACTGAAGGGGCAGAGCCCACCATGGCAAAGGACTGCTGTAATGTGCTCACTCTAAAGTGGAACTGAAACAGTGAAGATTAGATATGCTATAGACCAGCCTTTCTTAATTGGGGTGCCATGGCACCCAGTGGTGTCCCCCTACACCATTCACTGCCTGGGGCTCTTAGCAACCCAATGAGATGTTGCCTTATTATAGGGACGGCAGCCCCTGAGGGGCCCTCTAGGTTTGTCAGGGGTAAAATGGATTTTGGTGGACCACATGTTGTTCTTTACATTTTAACTGAGGGTACCTTGAGATTGTTCATGCTTTAAAGGGTGCTGCGACTGAAGAAAGGTTGAGAAACACTGTTATAGGAAACTTTAAGTATTAGGTAGGGATGCGCCGATACTGAGTATTTGGGTGAGTGCTTGTACTCACCCAGATGCTCCGATGCATAGCCCGATACCCGAAGCCGGGCATCGAGTCATTACATGCCGCCCGGCTTCCTTATTGGCCAGTAAGCCGGCTCCATGCTCCCTCGTCAAGTGACGAGGGAGCATGGAGCCGGCTTACTGGCCAATAAGGAAGCCGGGCGGCATGTAATGACTCGATGCCCGGCTTCCTGATACCGGAAGTTCGGGTATCAGGTTATGCATCGGAGCATCTGGGTGAGTACAAAAAAAAATTGGTCAGGAAACTGGCCAATCAGGAAGCAAGACAGGGAGTCATTACCTGCCCCCGCTTTCTGATTGGCCAGAAAGCTGGCTTCCTGCTCCCTCGTCATCTGGTGATGAGGAAGCATGGAGCCAGCTTCCCAGCCAATCAGGAAGCCGGGCGCTGTGTAATGGCTCGCTGCCCGGCTTCCTTGTTGGTCGAGAAGATTGCTAATCAGGAACCAGGCGGTGAGTCATTACTTGCCCCCGGCTTCCTGATTGGCCATAAAGCCGGCTCCATGCTTCCTCGCCATATATAGCAATATAACGAGGACATTAAAGGGACACTGCAGCCAGTGTCTAAAAGTGGCACTTGAAAAAAGCTTATCACACTACAATTACAAAATACAGACTTACCCTTCCATGCAGTTCACGATTTTTTGAATTCTGCTGAACGATCCCTTTGTCTCCTCTGCCGCAATTTCCTGTAAGTGCACATGGTGATCCAGGGGCGATTTATCTTTTTTGCTAAGCCAGCTCCCATTAATGACATGCCATCAATCCTGCACATAAGCACCCAGAGCTCTAGCCAGGGAGTCATTTTGTTTACATGTTGTCAAAGCTCTGGCAACTTCTACATAATATCATTCCCTGGCTAAAGAGTTAGGTGCGCATGAGTGGGACTGGCAGAGTGCTAGCTGGGGAGTCATATTGTCTACACATTGCCTATATTTTGGCCACATGTAAATGATGTGACTCCTCGGCTTGAGCGCTGACTGCACATGCACAGGATTGTCCAAGGGAATTGTATTATTTACATGTTGCTATATATTGGCAACGTCACTATATCCCAGGAGTCTTCATGCAGTGAGGTACGTCATATTTGCAAGATGGGAAATGTAGAAGTAATTGGAACATGGCAAAAATAAAAGGCATTTCTACAATTAAAAAACAAATATGCAAAAAGGAGGTGGAAGATCTGCTTTAAGTCATGATTGAGGTCTAGTACTTTTGGAGGATAAATTGGAAAGGAGTCCCTGGACTCACCAAGAGTCATCCCTTACTCAGGGGAGGAAAACTACCTGTGGGGAAACCTCCGGGGAACCTTGAACTGTGGCATATTGAGATGAATGCGAGATTGAGATGAATGCGAAGCAAACACAGTATGTGTTCTAGACCTATTGATGTAAAGAACAAGCATTTGCTTGGCAAAGCATTTAGAAAGCTTTATTAACGCAAAGCAAACACTTGTTCTCCATACCTGTGCAAATAAGGCCTAATACATTGTAAACCCTTCCACCTTCTGTACCCTCCCTTGTACCCTAATACATTGTAAACCCTTCCACCTTCTCTACCCTCCCTTGTACCCTAATACATTGTAAACCCTTCCACCTTCTGTACCCTCCCTTGTACCGTAATACATTGCTAATCTCTACCACCATCTCTACCCTCGCTTATACCCTAATACATTGTAAACCCTTTCACCTTCTGTACGCTATTACATTGCTAATTTCTACCACCTTCTCTACCCTCCCTTATACCCTAATACATTGTAAGCTCTTCCACTTTTGTATCCTCCCTTACACCCTAACATGTTGTAATCTCTTCCACCTTCTGTATCCTTCCTTATACCCTAACAGATGTAAGCTCTTCTACCTTCCGTATCCTCCCTTATGCTCTAACAGTTGTAAGCTCTTCCACTTTCTGTATCCTCCCTTATGCTCTAACAGATGTAAGCTCTTCCACCTTCTGTATCCTCCCTTATACCCTAATACATTGTAATCTCTACCACCTTCTGTATCCTCCCTTATACCCTAATGCATTGTAAACTCTTCCACCTTCTGTATCCTCCCTTATACTCTTATACATTGTAATCTCTACCACCTTCTGTATAATCCCTTATACCTTAACATATTGCAAACTATTCCACCTTCTGTATCCTCCTTCATACCCTAATGCATTGTAATCTCTTCCACCTTCTGTATCCTCCCTTATACCCTAATGCATTGTAATCTCTTCTAGCTTCTGTATCCTTCCTTATACACTAATACATGGTAATCTCTTCCACCTTCTATATCCTTCCTTATACTCTAATAGATTATAATCTCTTCCACATTCTGTATCCTCCCTAATTAGGGATGTCCCGATACCACTTTTTCAAGACCAAGTACAAGTACTGTCCCTCATGTACTTGCCGATACCAATTACCGATACTTTTTCTCGGCTTGAACCTGACTTCCCTCCTGGTTTGCCACTTAGTGGATCACTCCATCAGCACCCTGAGCAACGACATCCTGCCAGTGCTCCATTGGCCTCATACACGTTGCCTGCTCTGGTTTCAAGAGATTTCCAGTGTCATCCCAGTCCTGCCGATTCACTAGCTGGTCTAATGAACTCAAGCACCTCCTAAAGAACCGGCCAGCCACCAATATCGGCACCTGTGCTCCACTCTGTCATTACATCCTGTCACTACTTCCAGAGGTGTGGGAAAAGAGGTGCACAGGCAGCACCCTTCTCAGCTGAGTCTCCAGTCAGGTACGTGATAATCTGGTACAGGTATGAGTAAGTGGGTGTCTCCTTTCCATACCAATGGCAGGCCCCAGCATTGTTATGTGGATGCACCATGAGACTCCATGGTTCTGTGTAAGCTCTGAGAAGAGCAACTTGAGCATACATAGGTCTTCTTCACTTTGCTTCCACAGGCTAATAAAGTGGTTAATATACCAAGGCAAAGCCTTCTGTTTCCAACTCAAGAAAAAAGTCACATAGCTCTGTCAAATTTGAGAGCTCAGTTGCAACTAAGAGTTGATTTATAGACTCAGGAGCAAAAGCAGAGCTGTTACCCCTAGCAAATGATCAGATTCCTTACTTTAATTAAAATATGGATATTAAATTGATTACCTAGGTAACGTTTTCTACTGTACTTTTGCTCCACTTTGTGTAAATCAGTCTCTGTACAGATCATTTTAATGACCAACTTGCTATAAGCCCACACAAATAAAGCAAGGCACTTTCTCCATAGACACACACAGCCCTGTGGTACGCCCCTTCTCTCTGACCAACACTCCTGCAGGGGGATGACACTGCCATCAGTATCATCCCCCTGCAACCAGGAGTACGGGGAACAGAGAATAACTTCGGGAACGGCTGTGGGGACGAGCATTGCTAACAGGTAAGTGTGGGGGAGACTGGGGGAGAAAAAGGTTCTGGGCGGTTTTTACCCGAATGCAGAGAATGCATTAGGGTAAAAAAAACGCCCAGACCTTAATACTTCTTTAATCTTAATTAAAATTCTAGATGTCTGGCTGTCCTGCTGACCCTCTAGCTTCAATATTTTGGGTTAATAACTCAGAACAAGCATGTAAATAAGGGGAAACATTTGTTTCCCACTTTCTTGGTCTGTGTACTTGTTCTAGGTCAACTGGTCAACTACAATTTTAGAAGGTGGTCGGTGATTCCCTTATTTCACTCATGACAGGTTTTCTTTAAGCATTCATATATGAGATAAACAAATGGTGACAGCTGCTTTATCAGTTGTCAAGTGACAGCTGTTTGCAGTGTCATACGTATAGAAACAAATGCTCTTGGTGAAATCTTAGTTTTTAAAGGTGGCCATATACTTTACAACCATCGCAAGTCCTTAGTCTTGCGATGGTTGTAAAGTAATTTAAAAAACGTACGATCTGCCCATCTTAGACAGGCAGATCGTACTTGCGATCATCGCAAGCCCGCCCCCCTGAGGGCGGGCTTCCGATATCCGCAATGCTGAACGGGCAGTGTGTGCGTGCGCACACCGGCCCGTTCGGCATTTGTCTCCCGAGCATCATTCAAACCAGCCGAAAAATCGTAAGATTTTCGGCTGGTTTTCTAGCATGCTCCTTAGACAAAAGACGTGCGACCGTACAGTAGAAACGGTCGCACGTCTTCATTCACACTGCACGATTCTCATAAGATCCCGGGATTTCCCGCGATTCTCGTACGACAATCGTGCAGTGTATGGGCACCTTAAGGCAACTGGGAAGGGCGATCAAGTTAAAAGTGGACTCTCTTGCCCTCTGTGTGCCACTGAAATGTTTGCGGCCTAAAGTAATGATCCTGTTGAAATCAATAAGACCATTACTGAGAAAATTGTGGGCAGAAAATTGCAACTAATTGTGCAATCATTTTTCAATTATAAAAGCTTCAGTTTATTTTAACTGGAGCTCCTGCATATTCACTAGGCCTGCAAAGTCTCTACCAAAAGTAACAATGTC